TCCCTCATTTCTGCAGGAATATTTCATGGTTTTAAAAAATAAACCCATCCATACGACTTGTGCATTTGAAATCAACATATTATGGCCAAATTTTCAAACGCAGGTGCATAAAGACATGCTGAGGTACTTAGATGTAGGACACAGTTTTGACAAGTCAACAGAAGCTGAGGGTGCTCATAAACTCTGAAAACGAATCTGAAAAATCAGTCCACTTCTTTCAGGCTCTGATACAGGAAATCACTTAAGTGAACACTTATCTGTTAGCATATACTTAAGTCCTGTTTATTATAATGGGACTTAAACAGGTACATAAGTGCTTTTGTGAACACAGATACTTCCCTGAATCAAGGGCTAAGTGCCTAACTATGGATTCAGCTTCCTAACTTTGGACACCTGCATTGGAAATTTTAATCTATTCATGGAATTTACAGGAACACGCTCATTTTTCTACTCTGTACTTGAGACCTCAAGCAACTGTCCTAATGAGAACTCTAATATTGATGAGTCAAATTATGGCATCACTTATGATTATTAGAACCATACAGTTAGAGATTAAAATTATTTTGACTATATTGTTTCCAGTAGACCCTCATATATACACACATATCTCTATCTAGAGCGATCAATCCATGAATACAAATAATTATATTGAATTTTAAATTACATATATTTTTACCTAAATTATTTATTACAGCCAACGGCATACACCCTTCTCATGTAAATACCGCTGATTTCAACAGAATTAGTTCCAAGTGAGACGAGCAAGATTTTGCCCTTTGTATTAGTGATAAGAGATTTGACCTAACTAGAAACACACACTATTTAAAATTCTTTAAAACCAGAATCAATTTATAAATTCTACATAACATGCAACTCTTGAAATAACTTATATAATTAAACAGAAATTGCAGTCTTGAAATGCAATCCTGCAATGAGTACAGCGCATAGCACTTACTACGGCAAGTCGTCCAATTTGACTTCAGTAATACTACTCACAATGGCAAGTGCTCAGTAGCTAGCAATTGCAGGATCTGGCCCTAAACGGGAGAAATGTCGGTGACCGAATCGTCATCATCAAGGTACTGATGAGTCAGATGAAATCAATATGTTGCATTCTGAATGAACTCTCAAAACTATGTTAAATGTTGCACACAGGAACGTGGCTATGACAAGAATCTTACTATTTCTCTACAGTGAAGTGGTACTTCTGCAGTCACAGATGTAAGACTAATGTGTTTTAGGAGAAGATCAGAATTCACAAGCACTTTAACATCTACAAAACCACGTATAAAAATCACTTGCATAAAATTTTCAAGAATACCTATTGTAAAATATTCTATCCACAAATTTTTACACAGAGTTTCACCTGTAATAAAGCAACCTTATTTTACCACATTTTAGAAAAGCTTCACATTTATAGAAGTGGAACATATGTTTTTATTTGGAATCAGCATACGGAATTTATGAGGAGTCATATATTTTGTTAATTAAAGTGACATAATAGGAAGTAAGCAAAATGATACTTCTAAGTGATTTTTCTGAAAATATATTTGGATGATTTAAAAATAAATTACTTTGTTATATTACTAACCGTATTACAGAAAATATTTTAACTATTCTACCAGGATTTTGGCATCTATTCAAAAAATATCCAATACAAACCTTTGTAATATACTCATGGTGTTTTATTTAAGGAAGTGTGTTTCATACTGCAGGCACTAATCTATTTGCACCACTCATCAGATTGTTAATATGACTTTTTAATAATAATAATAATAGGAATTATTTCTGTTTTCATAAGTTGTTTAGTTAGGTTAGTAACTATAAAACCAAGATATAGCTGTACTTGTTAGAAGTACATGAAAAATCTATTCACTCAAAAGGTTTGAAGAAACTGTATTGTAGAGCATTTTTCTATTTTCTTACGCTTGAATTGAAATTTGAATTTTTAACTGAATAATTAGTTCACAGTGGATTGGTAATTTTGGATAAATATTATAAAAAAGTAAGTTAAACTATTATGGCTACATTAGAGGTCAAAGAAATACAACATTATTTCACCTGCCAATTCAGATTGTTAATATCCAATTAGATATTGTTTTTGATTGCCACATGTTAGTAAAAACAAAATGCAGTCAATCCTCTGACATACAAAGAAAAATTACTGACAAGTTATGACTATTGAACAGCTGACTAGTTTTAAAATTTTGATAACCAGACTGAATGTTACCTTCTGAACTTAGATCCTGACAAAGGCAATACAAAATACAAAGCAAGTTTTCCTCCCATCCTCTTATGTATATTCAAACAGATGTTTGCCTGTTTTTATAGCACAAGATTGTGGAACTTGATAGGCATGAACAAAATACAGATTTTTACTGCCACTACTCTATAAAACAGAAGAGCAGCTCTTTATAACTTTACCATATTTTAACTCTTGAACAAACATGTAATATAGAAACAGATACTTTAAAAAAAAAGGCTGCTTCCTATTTTAAGATATCAAGAAAGTGTTTTTTGTTTAGTTTTGCTTTGTTTTTTAAGAAGAGATGGCTTAAAATAATTTTTAATGAACTCATGCTCCTTCTGTATTTGGAAGTTTAACAAAACAAAACAAAGTTTTCTTTGAAGATGTTGAAAGTTTAAGTTACAAAAGGTTATTTTACAGTGATGTAAATTTATAAAGTTTAATAAAAATCATTACAAAGCAACAAATAACATACTACTTATTGTCACATTAAATATTATTTCAAGTATCTTCACCTTTTTACAAGCCATGCATAATAACTACACACAGAGAAGCAGAAAAGTTAAAATTATAGACTTTTTTAAAAAAAAAATCTCCATACTAGCAACATGTGCATATCATTTGGTCAAATTTACTCCCTCAAATATTTCTCTCTCTTTACAGTAGAGTAAGTAAACATTGTTTGTTTGAGGGTTGATTTTTTTTAAATGATTTTACTGTGTTTCATTTCAACTTTATTTTAAGAAAACTTTGTTTGATGACACAATTTTTTTAAAAGAGGCATATGCTTTAAAATATATCTAAGTGTGATGGGAGGTAGGACCTTCCTTAATTCTACTCTAGTAGTACTTTAACATTATGCCCATGGTGACAGATTTTTTTTAAAAAAAGTATAGTTACTCATCACAACTAAAAAATTATCCAGATAAATCATTATTTTCTGTCACTCTTCTTTTACATGAGTTTAACTTTACTGAAAAGCTGCCATCAGAAGCATAACATTAAAGAACTAAGCTAACTAGCAAACTCCAGGCACTTGAAAATTCTGCCAGTTAACTTTGGCTTCAAAATAGGTGATACCAATGGTATACAGAGTACAAAGATATTCTGCAAACAATGCAGATGTATTAAAAAACATGACGTAACAAAAATCAATGTGCTAATCGCAAACCAAACAGCAGTATCAGAAACATAAAACAGAGATAACCTAAGGTCCTCAAATTTACTTTGACTAGGTTGACAGGTTTAAAAAAAAAATCTGCTCACATTTACTTTAACAAGGCAAAAATACAACAGGTGACTTTTTACCTAAACATATGGATACCATTTGGAACAGGACTGAAATATCATTATACTGAAGTAAAGGGGAAATAACAGGAACACTGATAGATGCTAAATAAAACCTCTTATTTCAAAGAAGGTTCATTTAACATTATGAATAGAAAGTTTTTAAATAAAAATCTTTCATTTATAGCTACACTATCCAAAAACGTGCAAAGATACAAAAAAAAAAAATCTTTTAGCACAATCCCAACTGGAAAGCTTGCGGTCTATTTGTCTTGTCAACTATAATTCAAGAACAGTTTGATTCTCACTAAGTGGCTCAGTGAACAACTGGTTCCTCCTCCCACACCAACATTTATAAATGTAGTTCTAAACCATCAGATGCCCCTTTCATTGTGAGTGCATCACTAACTATTGCACTTGAATTTGCTATGACAACTTGAGCAAGAGAAGCTGCCCTTTTTCATGGGAAACGTTCAGTCCAGGACTAATCTACAAGTGCTGAAGTTTTAGAAGTTGGAGGCTTCTTTGCTCCGTTAATGTGACTTAACCAGCTTACATAAATTCATGCAGAGGGACGCTGCTCCTTTACTCCATCTCTGAAGCCCTGATATGGAACAGCTGCTACATGTGGCTGCAAGGAAGCCAGTTCCAGGCGCCTCTAACAATCTCAATCCAGGCAAAACGTTTCCCTTCTCTCCCTAGCGAAACCCTCTTACAGAAAAGTAATTCCGCCCCCCCAGAACAAATCCACTATAAACAGGTTCACTATAACGGAGGCGGCAGTGCACTGAAACAGTTCAAGACTTTCATTTCACATCATTATAAAGAGTTTCCCTGCAGCAGAGGTCAGTATAAATGGGTTTCACTACCTATCTAGAATAGGGAATTAGATTTTAAAATGTTTATAAACGCATATGCTTACACATATGCCGATATATGTACAGACACACATACACAGAGTTCATTATTAACTGTAGATGCCGCACCTCCACTTTGATACACAAGTATCACTATTTGGCCCTCTAAGGAACCAGAGTGCCAAGCACAAGGGGGCAGTTAGCCTGATGCAATATTGTTTGCTATGGAGAACCGGGAAGACCCAAACTAAGAGTTCCCCCTCCTGCTGCACTTAACGCAGCCCGAAGAAGAAAGTTTTCGCCCCTCTTGCAGACAAGTAGGTTTCCAGGCACTGGTCGAGAGCCTCCTACTCCAGCCCCGAAGGGCGCTGCCCAGAAGCCCTTCTCTGTCGGCTACGTGAAGTGGGGGGACAGCCCCTTCCTCTCCTTCCCAGTCCTCGTCCCCTGTGCTCGGAGCACGTGTACAGCCGGAGGAGCGCTCCGATCTTCCCCCGGCGTGCGGCGCTGCTCGCTCCGATGCCCGGCTCCTCACGCCCTCCGTGGGAGAAGAGCCCAGCACAGTGGGTGCTCGGGGATCGGCTCCCACGCCCGCCCCTCGCCCTTCTTACCTGGGGTTGGTGCTGTTCCAGTAGACGGCATAGCGATCGGCCACCGCCTTGGAGCCGGGATCCTGGCTGAACACACACATCCAGAGCACCAGAAACACCAGCGTCAACATCTCCACGTGCAACATCACTGAGTCCCGGCCCACACCGCCACCGGGGGGGGTCCACTCAGGCAGTCAAGTCACAGAAAGGGCAGGGAGGGGGCCACACGGAGGCTGCACTGACAAGCCGCAGCAAGACGCCCCCCCGATAGGGTGTGGCCGGGGGGGGGAGGATCCTTAGGTCCCTTCAGGAGCCGCTGGAGCTTAGTCACCCCGGCAGGGGGATGTGGGAGCCGAGCCGGGCGGCGGCAGCCGGGAGTCCAGTGCGGAGCCCACGAGGAGACATACACCGGTGCCGGGAGGCTGCTAGCGCTAGGCTGGGGGCTCCTCTCAAGGCACCGCTCTCCGGCCTCTTGCAAAGTTACTTGGTGGCTGGTGGCACATGCGGGGAGGGGATTCAAGGTCCTTCCTTCCTTCGCAGCCCTCCGGCTCTGGAGGCAGCTGCAACCGGTTCAGGTAAGCGCGCGAGGATGGAGGGGCACCAGCAGCAACAAATCTTCCCCCTGGCGCCCTCCCCCCCCGGGCTCCTGGGGATGTGTCCAGGCAGCTGGGCCGGGCGGGAGGCGAATCCGTGCAGCAAGTACAAAGTTTGCGGCTCTCCCCCCCCCACACACACACACACTGCAGAAGGGCAGCAAGCGAGCCCCGCGGAGTCCGGCTGCCGCGCGGATGGAGCTGGGGAGCCTGCTCTGCAGCAGAGAGCGTCTCGGGTGGAGGAGACTTCGTGGGGTGGCTTTCTTGTCCTTCCTGTTCCTGGGCGCTGGATGCACCACGGACCGAGCCACAGCAAAGGCACAAAAAGCGGCCAATCCAAGCAGTACTGCGGCGCGGGACTCGAGCAGATGGAAATGAGGGTGTTTTAGGAGAGGCTGTAAAACCAGCCGAACCCCGCAGGCGCGGAAACTGAAAGCCCACAAACTCCTCTGGTGATGCTGGTGTCAAGCCGCCTCCTCTGCACAGGGAACGAGATGGAGCCGCAGGAATCTCCTCCCTCAGCTTCCCAAAGTGTCTGTGTTAGAATAAAGCAGGGTCCATCCCTGAACCATCGACTTGGGACGAAGGACGAAACAGTTTGAAGGAGCGAGGGAAGGGGGAGGAAAGCAAGCACCCCTCAGAGGACTACATCAGAAAACAAATCAAGCCTTCGTCTTGGTCTTGCCCGGCAGCTTTTCCCTCTGAAGAAAAAAATATTCCGCCCTAGCAAGCAAATACACTTGAATGCAGCGGCGGGGGGGGGGGAGTCAGTTTTGAAAAAAAAATGTTGGGGGGGGGATATTTAAACTGTCACGCCCCCTTTTGCAACGCTGGTCCCTTCACTGCCTGTAAATCCGACATCAGCAGCCTAGGAAAATCTAGGAGCCTAGTGCTCTGGGCGTCTGTGTGCATGTGCGTGTGCAACAGACAGCTGCATAGCTATATACACGGTATATATATATATATATATATAATATATATACACACACGCACATACATACACATGCGTGTGCGTCAGAAGAGAGATCTGGAAGCTGGTGTGCGCGAGGAGTAGATGCACGGAGGAGGCGCAGACATCTAGCTCGGAGCACAGGCGCTGCTGGTTGATCATGTGGGATTTTTGCATGCAGTTTACTTGAGCAAGGGAGGGGGGGGATGTGCCGGCGCAGCCAGTCAGGGCACAGCCTGCTGTTTGCTTACAGACTGCTTTTTTTCCCCTTTTTTTTTTTACTGCACGCGGATTGGTTTACGACGCGAGAAAAGGGGCGTTTCCTTCTTCTCCCCTACCCCATGCCAAAAAATTTACCCAGCCTCACCTTCCTGAAACCTGACTAATTGAATTACAAGGAGCTCCGAGTGGTCCCTACATGGCCTTACTGCTAAATGTAACCATTTCAACCCAGGTTCTGTCTAGGGGTCCTCTCTCACTCACATACACGCCCATAAACTCAATCTTAAGAGTGGACAGCAGTCACTGAAAAGAGTGTAGAAAATAATTCAATCGTGCAATAAAGCTCCTTCATCACTTAGTTTAGATTTAAATATATGATTTATACGCCACCGGGGATCTGACATCAGCTGTTAGTGGATGAGATGTGACAGGATCAATTGAATTGGTTTGCAAAATTGCAACGCTAATCTTAAATATTACATAATCAAATTAAAACCGGACGGTTGTTTAGCAGTCTGGAAAACAGATTTAATCCTCTTCTTCCAACAATTGCATTTTGGCTTGCTAAACGGCTGTGTGTGTCTTTAAAGTAGTTTATTCAAGCGAGAGTTTATAATTGGGCGTGTCCTGCAAATATCTCATTGGACAATTATCAGACAAATGTAACCCCGCATCGGCGGAGCTGGTGTTAATGCGGCAAAATGAACCGCCAAAAAACACTGCAAGTTCTACGTGTAAACTATGAGGATGAGCTAATAATAATGGAACTGCTCAGCTCTGTTTCATTAACATCTCTCAAAGGGCAGAAATGCCATCACCATGCACCAGCTGTCCGTGCTATGCTGCACTGGCAGGGAGCTTAGATCAGGTGAGCTTCTCCATCCCTAATTTGAAGGGGTGTGTTGTGTCTATACAGACACACGGTCTCTTACCTTCCATTTGTCCCCCCAAGCCACAAACCCGTTTAGCTCCGAAGTTTGCAAAAGCCTCAGGAAGAGGTTGCCTGAATGGGACAATAGTTGTGGACAAGGGCTTTGCTCTTTTTCTATGGACAGAAGGGGGCATTGACTGCGAAGGGTCACAGCACGCAGACTACAGTTACCAACGGGGATCCCCCTCCCAGGTCCCTCCCAAGTATTCCTGTCTCGTCTGACCCAAGCACCTTTAGTTTTGGACTGAAATCGTGCCGGCGCCGCTGTATTTTCTTTTGCTTCAATAAAAACCTCTCTCACCGTGTCCTTCTCCCCCTGTGGCTCGCCGTTTTCCCGGTGCTTTTGAGCTGTTTGAAAGCTCCCAGACTCCCTCCAGTGGTAGATTATCATGCCGCACTTCATGTTGGTATTTCTTAAACAGACTAGAAAAGTGAGCCCGATTAAAGTCCCCACACTGGACTAGTCCGAAATACCAAATAAAATGAATAGGTCAAACACCACTTCAGTTTCTCTGTTTTGTTGTGTGTTTTCCTTTAAAAATCCCTCATATAAATAGTAAAAATCCCTCATATAAATAGTATTCACAGCTGCTCTAGCTTTAGGCTTTGATCTCATTATGCATTTTTCTCTGCATCTAAAGTATATTTAAATCAATATTTTCTATTTGTATACACTCTACTACATAAAAATATTTTGAAGCTGTGAATGGATATTCAGCTTTGCCACAATTAAAAAAAACATATTTCAATTACAAGGCAAGGACTAATAGCACCTGAACTATTTAAAAAAAAAATCTATCTAAACAAAAGTTACAACTTTAGTGTTTTGTTTTGTTTTTACTTCCTTATCATGGATTTAAAAGGATTTACCTAGTTGTTACTTACCAGGGTTACCTTCAGCCTCCTACTCTAACATGTTGCAGCCCATGAAATATTCCTGGGGGGAAAAAAACCCATCTAAGACTCCAGAAGTAACAAATACCCCCAAAAAAGCTAAGTTATTTTATTTTCTTAAAAAAAAAAATAGCATTTCTAATTTTATGACCTTTATTATTTTTTGTCACTTTTGTAGGCTTCCCAAGTTTTGATAGCTTGGGCTGAGTTCTTTGTGCCTGAATGGATTCATCTGATGTTAAATTTCCTTTAACTATTTTGATAATAGGAATATTATACACAGACATCCTTGCATTGCCTGGGCAAGAAATCTTCTTATTATAGACCCTTTCAAGGGATCTCCTTAACCACAGCTAAAAAGAAAAGTGGTTGGCTTTTGCTCCTTTAATTTATTTTTCCCTTGGTGTCTTGTAAGAAATATTGCAGGAAAAAGCTGACTTTTTAGTTAAGCCATTTTTGATAGATAGTCTGTTATATATTTCCACTGAGTTTCAATCCTGCACATCCAGTACTCTGCAAGGTATACAGGAGCAGACCCTTTGTATACTAACAGCAACAGAGAGGTGCAGAACACAAGTAAAGTGAGTAAAATTAATACAGTCTGTAAACGTAAAAAAAGAGAATACTGGCTGAAGCAGAAAGACATAGCTGTCATGGTACTGTCTCCCTCTCGCCACCTTCTTTTGTTTAATAAACTATAGATGGCTGTATTTTATTTGTTTATAGACAATGCAGAGAATTAGAAAAACAAGCACTTTGAACCAAAACAAAACAAAAAGCATCTTTTAAAAAAATAATTCTTTAGTGACTGAAAGGTCTGTGCTCTTTGCAGATGTCACATCATGAGCAATTTATATAGGCATACTGAATATCTAACATCCAACAAGATGTCATCCACTGTCTTAAGGCCTCCTTTTGTAGTTGCATGATTAAGCAATTATTGACATCAAAGATGTAAACTGCTACTGCATTCCAATGAGCACCTTGGCCTTGTATGCATTTTGTGGAATCATAAGGATTGTTAACTGGGAACTGTTCAGCATTAACTTCAGTTAAACTGTTTTGAATAAAGTATTTCCAAGTTTATAAGCAATAGATCTGAATTGGCTGATGGATGGCTTCCATAGCCACCACCTTATTCCCCACTTGACAATCTTAACAAATGTTTAAATATGAATTATGTAATATGTGTTTTCTGGCAGTTACATAGCATTTTAACTGCCTTGGTTATACTGTGGTGCTGTTAAACATTAGGCTAACTGATTAGTTATCTTGAAATAATTTAAAGTACATAACTAAGAGTAGCTTTAGACTTACACTTATAATGGGTTTTCCTTTAATATACCTGAGAAAGCTGCAGAGAAATACTTGGCTTTTCATGGACTTTTAAGTAACTACACAGTGTTTTGAACCATTAATCAAGAGCAATAGTTGGTCATTTAAACAGATATGAATTACATACTGAGCCAAATCCTGCCTGTCTTATTCATGCAAGCAGTTCTGTTAAAATAACTTGTATATTTCATAAGTGCCAGATGAACTAGACTAAAGATAGTTTGGTGTCAGCTAAATGCACAAACATAAACAATAAGACAGAGCACCTTAAAACTTTTCCTGTAGCATATGTGTAGCATTTTTGGTTTGCAGTGTTGATTTTTGAGGTATAAATTTTGGATCCTATTTTAAGAGTAAACAACTGGGGCCCAATCCTGCTTCTACTGAAGCTGATGACTTCACTGGGGAAAGGATTGATGACTAGAATTTTATCTATAATTAAAAATATGGGGGAGTGCAAAGAAGAGCTTTAAGAAATACTAACCCTCTGCAAAAACAGTTTAAAACTGCAAACAGTGTAAGTTTCAAGAATTTTCTGTGTATGTTTTGTAGAAAGGGAGGGAAATTTTTTCATTACATTTTTGTTTAAGCGGAATTTTATTGGGTTTAACCTAAAACAAGATCCTATTTATATAGCTGACTCTCTTAGTGGACTCTCTATAACTTATCTTATGTTCTTTATGAAGAACAATATATATTAAAAGCTGAGCTTTTGTTTATCTATTGCATACATTGAAATTTCTGTTTCAGAACTTCCAAACATCACATTTCCTTACATTTTTAAAATCCCTTCCTGTTGCCATAAAACTACTACTGAAATATGACTTTCAAAACTTGTAGTTCAGACTGTTTTTAAAATTAATAAGTGAACAGAATGATTAATAATTATAAATCCTCCTCTATTCTACTGTAACTCCTGACACTCTAGGCTATTAGAGAGTAATACAAAACAAAATCTTTAACATACTTTTCATACAACATGAGTAGTACCAAAGGCATACGTAATTATGTTAGCGAGAATAATTCAGAGAATAATTCAATATAATTATTGAATTATAATAATAATTCAATAATTCTTTACAGAGAAGTATATTCATTATTTGATTCAAGCATAGGCAAATATTCATGAGCCAGATAAAAGCCTTCCTTGCCGGGTGATTTTCTGACTTAAGGATTTGTTTTGTTTTTTTCTTTCCCCTCTTAGATATGCATTTACCTAAGTGAGATAGCGTGTGTGTAACGTACACATGGATTTTTTATTTCATTTTTTTTGAGTTTGTGTAATTTTGTGGAAAAGTAGAGAATCAAATGATCACAGATAAACTTGCCTCAAATATTTAATTACATTTTCTACTAATTAGAAGAGAGGATGAATGGAAGACTCTCAATTCTATTCGCAATTCTTTCAATGACACTGTGTGGCCTTGGCCACGTACTTAACCTCTCAGCCTCTGTATCCCCCTGTACTAAAAGATGCTAATATAGATATACCTATTTCACCGGAATGTGTCGAGACTCAATTAATTAATGTTTGTAGATTTTCAGATGAATTACTTTGAGATCCTCAGTTGAAAGGAGCTGCGTAAATACAAACTGTCAATGATATTTTTGAAAATTTTCATTTGGTGCTGTTCTCAACAGCTGTCTGACACCCCCAGAAACCTTGCCTATTTTTTTGCCAAATTATTCTTGGAATTCATTTATACCTTTAATGAAAGTTATCAATAACCATCCACACTGTTTCTGTTTCAACGTCTCAGTACAAAATCTGTGTATCTGTCTGAGCACCCAGAGCACT